GTAACAGCCTAAGGCCACCGTTAGTAGATATTATTCGTTTTGGCCCATTATGTATCGATGTCAGTCTCATGATTTTAAAATGTGTCTACTAGTGAGAGGTTTTCACACCCTTATAAGGAAATGCTATGCTCCCCACTCCAACCGATGTGGGATCTCATAATCCATCCCCCTTAGTGGCCAACATCCTTGTTGGCACACTGCCCCGATGTTTGGTTTTGATATCATTTGTAACAGCCCAAGTCTATTGCTAGGAGATATTGTCCGCTTTGGTCCGTTATATATTGTCATCAACCTCATGGTTTTAAAATGTGTCTACTAGGGAGAGGTTTCTACACCCTTATAAGGAATGCTTCGTTCCTCTCTCCAACCGACATGAGATCTCACAACACTATAGTAGCTCATTTACACAAAGGAATTTAGAAAAGTAGAGGGAGGAATGAAAGCATGGAAGGAGAGATCTTACTTCCCCAGCACCAAGGAACAAGAAAGTGTGATCAGCCAAGGTACCACCAATGAGTTTCAGAGCAGAAACAACTCCCGCAAGAACAACAGACGCTGTCCCCTGAAGAAACAAGAACAAGAGTATGGATAAGAAAAATTGACAACTTCCCAAATGATGAGTACCAAATTTCAGTACCTGAATATCATCATTGAAAACTGGATGATATGTGCGATACTTGGCCAGTAGCTCGAAAGCATTATGGTTGGCAAAATCCTCAAACTGAAAGTTTCAAATAGCCCCAGTAAGTACAGAAACAAATCAAATATATACCAAACATATTGTAACCTGAATAAGAACTTTTTCCCCATAATTCTGCTTAACAGCCATCATAAACTCATGTAGAAGGTCATAGTACTCCTGCATAGAACATAGGCATCCATATCAAATATACTTAAACCAGCCAAAAGCAACACAAAGACGCCTCCTGAACCTTTCCAGTTGCCCTTCTTTGTTTAAGCCCAATATAGAATTCATCATTCAACAGTTTCTCGTTGTTTGTCCCCACATCAATTGCAATAGGCAAACACTATCAAGAAAATGTGGTATTAGCTGAAATGAACAACATCGTGGTATTGCTTTACAAGTAAGATTCTTACTGCAGAAGGACGAACTCCTCCAAGTGCAGCGTATAAAGAAAGCTTCCCAACTGAAATTCCCATTCCCTAAAACATCCAATAAATTCATATCAAAATCAGTCAGTCTAGAATGAAAGTAGGTCTAATTCATCGGAGGATGTTTGCATAGAAATTACTTGACAACCAAGATCACCAAGACCCAAAATACGCTCGCCATCAGTCACGACTATTACTTGGATGCTCTTTTGGGGCCAATTCTTCAATACTTCAACGATCTTACCCCTGCATGACTCAATGTTACAAGGTTCACAGAGCCCTGAAAGTCATAAAAAGCGTACTTACTTCTCTTTCAAACTGATGTAAAGACCCTGAGGACGCCTGAAGATGCTTCCGTATTTTTGGCAAGCTTCACCAACTGTGGGAGTGTAGACAATAGGAAGCAGTTCTGTGACATTCTCAATTAGAAGTTTGTAAAAAAGCCTTTCATTTCTTTCCTGTACACCAAATTTCAAACTCCATTGAATCAAAATTGGCACGTATTTAGAAGAAAAACAAATGGTAGGTAAAGTCAGAACCTGAAGTTCAATCATGGCAATAAATTTTTGTAGTGGAAGTTGATATTGTCTAATGTTCTGCATCAACTTCTTCTCCTGGTATCACAAATGGAAAAGGTCATGAATAAGTACATCAAAGACATGACCACTAAAAACTCAAAATGGGACATCGGTGGCAACCTGAAGTTGTTGAGAAGCAACGGCAGGCGGCAAAAGCCCCCGTAAATGATGAGCATCTCTTTCCTTCTCTGTAAATGCCAACCCCTTGTTATGGCGGGGATCCCTCAGCAAGGAATAGCCACTGCATCAAACCAGATTGCAAAAAGAATCCATGTTTACATTTTAAGAGCAACGTTGTCCATTTTACCGAGAATATTAATATTTTAACAAAACCGTCTCCACAATAGTATGATATTGTCCATTTTGAGCATAAACTCTCATGACTTTGCTTTGGGCTTCTCAAAAGGCCTCATACCAATGGAGATAGTATTCCTCACTCCTGAATTTACATGATCTTCCATTAAATTGACCAACGTGGGACTCACTCTCAATAATTCTCAACACTAGCATGATTAGAATCAAGAGGAGGAATCAAAAGCTCCTAATGGTAATTCACTATCACAAATCCTTCCTTCGTGTAAGACTACTGTTAGTAGATATTGTCCACTTTAGTTCGTTACGTATCGTCGTCAACTTCACCATTTTAAAACGTGTCTATTAGGGAGAGGTGTCCACACCCTTATAAAGAAACGTGTCTATTAGGGAGAAGTGTCCACACCCTTATAAAGAATGCTTTGTTCCCCTTTCGACCGATGTGGGATCTCATAATCCACCCTCCTCTTGAGGGATAGCGTCTTCGCAAACACTATAATGTCTGGCTCTGATACCATTTGTAACTGTTACCATTTGTGACAGTCCAAGCTCACCATTAGCAAATATTGTCTGCTTCGGCCCATTACATATCACCGTCAGCCTCACAATTTTAAAACGTGTCTGCTAGGGAGAGGTTTTCACACCCATAGAAGAATTGTTTCATTCCCCTCCCAACTAATGTGGGATCTCACAATCCACCCCTCTTGGGAGCCCAACGTCCTCGCTGGCACACCGCTCGGTGTCTAACTCTGATACCATTTGTAACAACCCAAGCCTACCGCTAGTAGATATTGTCAGCTTTGGCCCATTACATATCGCCGTCAACCTCACAGTTTTAAAACGTATCTACTATGGAGCGGTTTCCACACCCTTGTAAGGAATGTTTTCGGGCCTAGCATCCTCGCTAGCACACGGCCCAAAACCTACCTTTGATACCATTTTTAACAGTCCGAGGACACCACTAGCAGATATTGTCCGTTTTGGCAGCCCATTACGTAACGTCGTCAACCTCATAGTTTTAAAACGCGTATGTCAGATTTCCACACCCTTATAAGAAATGGTTCATTCCCTCTCCAACCAACGAGGAATCTCCCACGTCACCATAAAAGTAAGTTTGTTCCAATAAGTTGGGATTATGTTACATACAACGATGAACCGAGAGTGTTAAGTAATCAGTCAAACCACAAGCCAGTATACCAAACCCAAACATCCAAGAAAGTTGGATATACCTGGCAACTGATGAAGTCCTTGGAGTGACGAGCTGCTTCTCCGTAGCACGGTGTTCTCCATTGATGTCCTGAACGCCATCACCTATCTCCTTCAAAGTGCTCTTCATCACTCAACTCAAATTGGAAGCACCCCACGCAAAGAGAGTGGCAGAAGGAAGAAGCAAGAAACAAAATCTGCCCAGAAATGAATAAATTACGAAGTGGGCAAACATAATTTATCCACCAACAGTTTTGTAAGTTTAAATATGCACAAGAAATAATCCAATCTAACTATAGATAGTGTAAATAAAGTCAAAAGTTTGATCTTTTATTCCTACAACATTGTTAAAACACTCGAATCATCTTTATCCTCTCTAAAGATAGCACGTTTTATTCTAAGTTCTTCAACTCCAAGTAAACAAGATATATATAATTTAACAATACCCAATGCAATTAGAAAAAAGTACATTGAGCTTATTTTCAAATTTGATTTTCACCCATTTTAGTACTTCAAAATGGGCTAAACGCTATTTTCATATCATATCATTTTCTTTTATCTTAATATATCTATTCAACTCTACTCTAAAATTTATTAAACTATTAAATTAAATAAAATCGATACTACTAACTTGTGAAGTATTTGACTCTTAAACTAAAAGATTGTTCTTTAGAGAGATTAGATTCAAGACCATCGGTGTATAATTTAATCCTTATGAGTATTAATCTAGTTGATTCCTAACGATCTATCCATAAATAAATAAATTTGATTCCTAACACTTTATTCTCAAGTTGAATGGAATATTATAAAATTACATTATTCTCTGCATAATTCAATTAAAAAACAAAAAAAAAAATATAAATTAATTAGGTTCTCGAGTTCTATAGTTAAAAAGTAAAAAGTGCCAACACTTATCTAAATTTAGGGTTGAATTCAATAAAATTGAAAGTTTATGTTAGAAATTGATATGTTCTATCAAATATTGGTAGACGCCTTCTTTTTCAACTTTAACCGGATCATCTAAGAAAAAAAAAAGTCAACCTAGCTTAAAAGTTGTCCCTCTTTAATTTTTTTTTTTTTAAAAAAAAGTTTCGATGCTCCATTCCAAAAAAATAATAATTAAATAACTCGACCAGGAAATACTTACAAATGATTTTATTCTTCAAAATTAAAAGTTCTCCATGTTAAAATGAAGCTTCCAAAGGATAGGCTTAAGGTTAAAATCACTCGCATAGTTTAAAATCATTTAACAGTTTAAGCATATGATTCCATCTATGCCAAAAAAATTATAACATATTGTAAGAATATTATCTTTTTATATATAGATTTAAATGATTTATTTATAAGTTTTTTTAGTTTTTTTTTTTTTTTCTTTTCAAAAATTAATTTAGCCCGTATAAAAAACAATATTCAACGACATATTATAGTTTGACTTCCATAATATAGATGGAGACACTACTTAAAAATTGAACTTAAAAAGAAAAATAAAAGAAAATAAAATAATAGAGGCACGTGGATGACAGCTGGATGCAGAGGTGGAGTATTAAATTGGGATTTTTTTGAAAATAAATTTTTAATTTTGTATCTATTAAATTGTTAAATTTTGTATTTTATATTTGATAAAAAAATTTAATTGACATTTTTTAAAATTTATGAATCTTTAGATATAAAATTTATAATATATTTGTAAATTATAAGTTTAAAACCCTATTAAATAGTCTAAGTATCTATTTAGAGATTAAACTTGTAGTTTAAGTTATAGTTTAACTACAAATCCCAATCAAGATTTAAATATTTTAATATGATCCCTAATATTTACGTTATTTTACATCTCGGTGAATGTATAATTAATTATGGTCATAATATTATTAACTAAGATGAACAAAAAATCTGACGCATAACTGAAGGGAGGCAAAGAAAGCTGTTTTCAGAATGTTTTCTGGCACAGAGGTTGAAGAGAGCCGAACCTGCAACTCTCCATGCAAAGCTGCAATAGCGCACACACCCATGGCTCATCGCATACTCATATGTAACGTGATATATTGCAAGAGCTTCCTTGTATACCTCCTCCATCCACCTCGGGCTGCCCTCCAGCTCTTCCGCACCGTACAATATCTGAAGCTAATAACAATTAATGAGTAGCAATTCAACAAGAAGGTGTTGATCACTGGATTTTGAAGTTACCTCTTTGTACTTTTTAATGGTGGCTTCAGCAGCTACGTTTTTGGCATCAGGATCGAGCTGCAAGGCGTCCCTCATCTCTTTTCTATACATCTCATACTGAAACTTCCACTTCATCAGGGTATCATCAGCCACTTCATCTTCAAAGCAAGGAAGTTTTTGAACCTCTGAGGATTGTAGAGCCGATGTGATGCATTAGGAGCCTTAAACAGAGTTTGTTCAGTGAACAAAAACATGGTAATTATGACAGTGAAAAACTCACCAATGTTTGGCGATTCTTCTTGAAACATGTTAACAGTATCAAAAATTTGTCCTAGAATTGATGTTGAGGTATATGATTTTTTTCCCCTTTCCATGAAATGAGGGAACGTTCCTGCCTTCAGGTGTTTTGGAACTTCAATCTATCAAAAGGGAAGAAAAATCCACATGAAAGCCCTTGATTCAAAAGCATCATTCTAACCATGTTCAGCACATCAACTGTCAAAAAATGCGGAATATTAAACTGTCATCACTCCAAGAGGACATTAGAATTAGAATGTCTTCTCTTATGCTAGAAATATATATAGGTAATACTCCAAGTCCACGGCTAGCCGATATTGTCTTCTTTGGCCCGTTACGTATCGCGTTCGGCCTCACGGTTTTTTAAAACGCGTCTACTATGGAGAGGGTCTAGCCCTACTCCGACTAGTGCCTCGCACCGTCTGGTGATTGGCTCTAATACCATTTGTAACAGCCTAAACCCACTGCTTTGGCCCATTACGCATCGCCATCAGCCTTACGATTTTAAAACGTGCCTACTAGGGAGAGGTTTCCACACCCTTATAAGTAATGCTTTGTTCCTCTCTCTCCAACCAATGTGAGATCTCACAATCCACCCTCCTTGGGGGCACAACGTCTACGCTAGCACACCGCCCAGTGTCTGGCTTTGATACCATCTTATACCTTTCATCTAGATGAAGACCCTATTGTTTTTTTATCATTTCATAGGATGATAAGAAAGCTCTACATTGAAAAGGGAAGTTTTTGTTTGAGAAATAAGCTATCACCATGATGGATCTCCACCTAGCTATTGTCTGTGTAATAAATAATTCCAAATCCCTCACTGGATCCAAGAAACACAAAGGAGAACATAAATAGTATAACAATTTCATGAAGAGACAGAGTATCATTAACAGAACTGACCTCTTTCCCGCCTTTTTTAGGTGCATCTAAAGCATCATAATATATATTGATCAACTGGAGAATCTTTGCCCTTAAACGATTTCTTTCTTCTTTACAGTCTTCACCCAGCATAAGTAGTTGATCCATCAATGCTACCCAGTTATCAGCTGCAACACTCTTTGCATAACTGAACGTACCACAGAATAACCCCAATTTTCCATCAGTAAACATAATTGATGGGAAACTTCACCGCACTCAAATCTTAAAAAGTAAAAACCACATGGATAGATACACTCCATCACATACCTTGGCTGAAACCGAGCTGTCAAGAATAATTTAAATAGCTCCTCCTCTAGATCCTCCGCAGAAAATTCATTTGACTTTATATTAGTTATTACTTCCATTGAAGGACTTGGCCTCCAAGGTTTACCTGGTCTGAAATACTCTAACAACTGAAATAATTCCAAAAATAAGAACATAGAAGAGGTATGCGGTGACTCTATTATATTGATTGAATTTTTTTCCAAAATTTATAGTGTGAAGTCATAATTTCAGAAAACAACTTATGGTGCGTGCAAACAACTTAGTGTGAGGTTTAATGTGCCTTAACCTGAGAATTTCTGGAAACCCAGTACATATCACCATCAAAATCACCACCAGCTATTTCATCAGCTACTGAACGGGGACCCTTACAAGAGAAGAATATACCATATTTTGCATTTCCCACCACAGGTACCAAGTCCTCCACATATTTAGCCGTTAAAACATGGATATCACCAAAATGTAATCCAGGATTGCGATAGACAAGAACCTTCCCATTGATTTGACCATTCTCACTAGTTGGACGGGGAACACAGAACATGTCGATACTTAATACACGAACGAAAAGAAAATAACAAAACAAAAGCAGGGATTTCAAGTAACAGAAGTAAATTATCAGTTATAATTCTATCATATTTATCAGATGTTTGTCAATCAATTGAAAAACATTAAAGATAATATGATATGTTTGTATAAAAAGAATTAAGATAATATACATTTTGCTTATCTTATCTTCATTCAATTTCTCATCCCCAGCAATAAAGCCAAATAGTTGGTGAATGTATTATAATGCTTACACTAAATGCTTCCATACAATCAAGTAAAACTAATTGAAATCTCATGCATGTAATACATACAGGATAACGCAGACTTCATTGCTCTCAAGAGTACAGGTGGGGTCGGCTGTCCCCATTAAATAGTAACAATCAGGCACGTGAAGCCTTCCGCTTCTCAAGCTCTTTTTCTCCTCCCTCAGAAGCATAGACAACCGATATTGCAAATATGATTCATCAAGAGGAATTCCAGATAAAATCATTCTTGCAACTAGAAAGTCATCCATATCACCGTTGTTAATGGAAACTGCAAGAGAGCCACCGAGAGAGAAACAAAAAATATGTAACAGTACTTTGAAAGAGAAGAAAAGAAAACAGCTCAAAAGGCGTAATACCTCTTAAAGCTGCACGCTTACTAGAAAAAAGACCCTGAACATCTCTCAAAGCATCCACAAGGATATTCATGAAATACTCTCTTGGGACACCTCCATAATTTAAGAGTGCTATTAAGTTTCTTGAAATATATGCCCTCTTTGGTGGATTACTGAGAAATCATTAGAGAAACGAAACTGCCATTGTTCAGAAAAAGGTAAATACAAGTGAAAAGCCATTGCAGGGAAAATTGCAATAAAACCTTTAAAGAGCTTAGCAACCACCGTTGCTTGTTGTTATCCCAACATATAGTTATGAAGAAAAAAAAAAATTGCCAAATTTTAATTCTTTGAAGGCCTCATCAATTGCATTTTCTTAATGATGAACAAGCATAAGTTTCTTATTTCCAATGGTACAAGCAAAGCCATGAGAGCCATGCCCTTAACTTCCCCATGTCAATAAAATCCTCAAATGTCGAACAAAGAAGTTGTGAGCCTCGAAGGTGTACTCAAAAGATGACTCAAGTGTCAAACAAAGGGTGTACTTTATTCAAGTGCCCTAGAGAAAAGAATTGAGTCTCGATTAAGGGGAGGTTGTTCTAGGGATCCATAGGCCTCCGGAGAGGCTCTATGGTGTACTTAGTTCGAGTGGAGGATGGTTGAGGATTGTTGGGAGGGATTCCCACATTAGCTAATTAAGGGGATGATCATGGGTTTATAAGTAAGAAATATATCTCCATTGTACGAGGCCTTTTGGGAAAACCAAAAGCAAAGCCATGAGAGTTTATACTCAAAGTGGATAATATCATACCATTGTGGAGGGTCATGGTTCCTAACACTATGCAGTAACGGTGCAAAGGAATATATATAAACCCTATCATATGCCCAATGGGAAAGAAATTGACGTTGAACTCCAAAACCATGGCAAAAGAACACAAAAAAGAACATTGGGAAAAAAAAAATCAAATGTAGGATACCTGGTTCCTACCACCTCCAGTGAGTTCTCTGTTTCAGCATTTTCAAGATTTGGATCTTTTTCAACTTTGATCATAGAATTGCGAATTTGAATTGTTCTAGAAGGAAGCTGCAATTTTAAGTTAACAAATTATAACATACAACAGTAGATTAATGATAGCAGAGACATACGAAAATTACATCTATACTGAAGGGACATTTTGAATTGCGTTGAACTAATAAAATCGTATCGTACTCAGATTTCATGTCATGATAACTCTGGATAGAGGAGCTGGAAAATCCAGTCTAAGACTAGCAAAGACAACTATTAAATATATACATGAAGGCCCTTCTCTTTATTTGTGAGACTAAAATGAAAAATGGTTCCAAATAGAAGATACTGATGTTTAAGTGCAAAATGAAGACATCCGGAAAATCAATACTCGTTGGTAAACAGCTATCCACAAACTGATTCACTTAACCAACGCATGACTCAACTGTTGTATGTCCTACTATATTCAGCTTCAAGAAGTATATACATCTATTCAGGTTCAACAAGTATCATCCATATTTTCTCAAAAAATAAAGAAAAAACAAAAATTAATGTCCTCCAAACAGAGTAGCCACCTTTCTCAACCCAAATTACTAGGAATGAGTATAATGATAGAATACCACAGTAGATTTTCTTGATGGAAACACCAATTATATATGATCCAATATATTTAAAAATCCAAGCCATCAACATTTTCATGGATATCGTCCTTTTACTCCTGGAAAATGATCTGGAATAGAAAATGAATAAACTTTGGATGTCAGCTGTTGTATTTTATGATATTACATAAAAGTAACAGTGAATATGATATTAGAATTCAAAGCATCATATTCACTTCTTCTGGGCACTGAAATGGATTATCATACTAGATGGAGAAGTTTTAGAACAATCAAGAAGACAATATGTATGAGGTCAATAACCTGTAGCTCATAATTACGGAGTAATCATTACTGTAAACCCAGGAGCAAGATGGATGCCAAAAAACATATAACTTATGGTCCTCTTCTTAGACTACAAAGTATACCTGTTTATTCACTAGAAATGTTCCTTTAACAGCAAGACCGTTGTAAAAAAGTCGGAACTGAATCAACAAAGGCTTCCAATGGAAAGAGAATTAAATAAAAGTCAGTGTTTACATAAAACAAAGAAGTAACTCCACATAATCAATAGAAACTCGAAGGGATAAAGTTTAGATACACATACTGGTTCTCGAAGTTCAAGCCCAGGCAGTATTACTTGCGAAGTCTTATTCTGAAATACTTCAAAGGCAGGAATTCTCTATTATATGAATGTCAGACAGCATGCACAATAAACATCAAACAAATTTACATGTTTTAGAATAATATAACCAGTCAAATATGTGAGAAGGAAAAAAAAAAAAAAAACAATCATACAAAGAAGAAAAGGTAGCAGGAGATGACGAAGTTCCAAGAAACCAACGGATATCAAACCCTAGAACAAGACTTAACAATATGGATTTTCTCACCTTCACGGCAAAGATTTAAATCATGCATTGTAAATTCTGGTATTTTTTCCCCTAATGTTTATTAACATGAAATCACAAACCTTAAGATCAGCATCATGCTTTGCCTGCCCTTTAAATACATTCATAGGGCACTCCAAAGCTAAGTCCTCCGATATAAATCCCGTCCCGTCTGTATGTATAAGTGGCTTTCCATCTCTATACATGACATTACCATTGACATCCTGCAGCTTGGAATAAACCAAAATAAGTAGCTATAAATATAATGTGCAGCAAAAAAGTCAACTAAAACTACGAGAAGGATGGTGTAGGAGGGATTTTCATTTTTCAATTGTATCCCCTTCCCCTCCACCACAAGGCTGCAGTAATAGTGGTGGAACACCGTACTTTGCAAGGTATATCCGTGATTCTTTGAACATTTACTGAAGATAAATCAATTTTGAGTTTTATCGTCTTCGACAGAATGAGTGAAAACCTACATAACAGAACGGTCAGGACAATGGCATAGAAGTTGCTAGGTTAAATAAATGCATTCTCTATCACCAGCATACCTAGCCATGTAGCTTGCGACACTAGACACCGTGTGTGGATGCATGAAAAGACTCCTAGCTTCAAAAATTGTTCTATTAGATAATTTATAAGGTTGAAGCTTATCAAAGTATGCCGCTGACTCCATTCTGACAAAATAGCACTTCACTGCTGATGTGGTTGGATTCTTCTTTTTTTCCTCCTTGCCACCATCTTTGAAAACTATTCGATATACATACAAAACAATAGTGAGAACAAAAATTGCCCATTATGTATAGACAATATAAGCATAAGAAAATGAATAAAAAGTTCAGTTATCGCAAAAAAAATTAGTTTAAAACTTGAATCTTAATCATTTGTCTAAATAGAGTATCATAGCACTAAAATACTATACAAGCCATGAGAAGATAGAATAGTCGAAAGACAACAATATCAAAGACGTTGGACCGTTCAACTAATGTAATGAGGTGATTACACGTATGATGAATTTTGGATGACAATTTATGTTAAGGAGAGCATAACTATGCATTTGCACAAAAGTAAGAGAAAAAAAAAAACTTGAGGTGCTTAAAAATTGAACAGAATTCAATACTGAAACAACATGTGCCTACCCAGGTATGAACTAGCATGAGTAATAAAAAGAAAGAAATGACAAACAGAAAAAGAATTATTAGAAACAATTTTATTGATGTGTGAACTTCCAGGGGGTAAGAGCCCCAATCCATGAGACAAACAGCCAACTTTAAAATAATGGACACTAACTTTAAGCTAGGAGAACAAGAATCTTCTCTTTTTTTTTTTTTTTTTTTTTGGTGGGGAACGGGAGGTGACAGCAGAAACAAGCACCACTACTGAATTCATAAAAAAGGCATCATAAAAGACTCACCAAAAAACTGATATCGACGCAATCCAAGAAGAATGCCATCTCTAGCAATCTTTTTATAAGCATAAAATGATCCACCAGGATGGCTTATTGAACATCTATCAGAGACGTCTTCAGCAAACTTGACCATCAGAACATTGTCATCGCCTAAAACCCTTTGCAGATGAGTTTTTGTATGGTTCAAAAATGGACCCTGAACAAAGATCCCATGTAGTGACACTGCAACTCAGAAACTTCTTCAACAATACTGTAACAATCCTCACTTGTGGGCTTAAAAATTCACAAAGGTCCACCAAGTAGCTATCAATATTAATTAAGGAGGAAATGACATTATAGGAGTTTTGAAATACAAGATCTATTTTGATACTAAGTTAAATCACTGTTGAACTCAAAAGCTTAAGCTTATCATCTATTTGAAAGACCCTAAAAAGAATGTTAACAACGTTTAAATACTGCTGGCATACACTAACCTTGAAACTATAACTCCCATCCAATGCAACATAACAGTGGTAGATGTGTGTTTTCCTACGATCCCAATCAACATACTGCAACAGAAAGAGAGAAGAGAAAGTGTGTACATAAGAAAGAAAAATGTCACCCTCATAGAAATTTGAAAATAGTCCATTGATCTATTAGCATCAACTTGAGTATCTTCAGTGCTTAAGCTAAAAACACCTCCATGATTTAGGGAGACGCTGTTTTGGCATAAAAGCAAATAACCCTACAGCATTTAGAGATGCTAATCAAATTTACCACTCGTCTGTCTTCCTTATTAACGTATTTTTCACCAAATGCTTTCCAAACTTCAGACTCAAATTTCTCCATCGCCAACTGGCTCAGACTTTGAATTTGGTCTGCTGTTGTGACTCTTTCTAAGCTTTCTCTGCATTGATAAAAGGGATGGAACCACTTCGATTTCAGCATAATGTACATAAAGCTATAAACTAACACGACAATAAAAATATAAATGCGAGGAAGTGTTTACCCTCCAATATAACTCAATATCAAAAACGCCCTTCTAAACTCAAGCTCACCCAAAGCCACAAATTGTGGAATCTGTACCCTATCTGAAACCGACGATGAATAGATTGCAGATTTGTCTGGTGTTGACGGCTCAAACTTTGTTTTCTCAGCAGTTCCTAATCCATAAAATGTTTTAACGTCGACCCTCAAAGCATAAAAGTACGTGCAGAAGAATACTTATTTCGGAAAAGCCAAACAGTGAAGACAAAGAACCTTGTGGGCTATAAACGCGACAAGATGAAAGACTCTGATACAGAGAAGCGGAGCAAGTCGAAGGACTGTGAAGCTGAGAAACACAGCCGGTGGAAGATGGACTCGAATGCGGAGAAAAAACGGCAACCATCTTGTTCTGAGGTGAAATGCAAGGATCATTACGAACCATATGCATGATGAAACCGCTAAGGTTCCTAATAGAGCAGGAGGAGATTTTGCGGAGAGAATCAAGAGCCATTTCTTCTCCTAAAGAAGCTAACGCCCGTCGCGCTTTGGCATCAGGCGGTGGCTGATTCTGTTGCACACAGATTTGGAGAAGAAACTGCTCGACGGACGGCGGAAGAGGCACTTCGTGTAAATGATCCGCCATCAGAACAATGCAGGCTTCCTTCTCGACGGAGAGCGGTGGCAGTGATGATCAGTATGCATCCGAAAACCCCACCGTTAGGTAGGTCCGTTGACACGACCGTTCAAACTCATTTACTTACCATTGTCAACGTCAAGTCAATCAAAGCTTATAAAAATATTCACTTCGATATATACAAAGTTTCATCAAATTTTAACCACACTTTTCACAATAAAGAGGCAATTTACACAAAATTTATAAATTTTATTGACTAAATTGCTATAAATTTAAAAATTAAAGGACTAATTCGTCATTTTCACACCCGAATATTTTATTCTCTATAATTTTAATTATCAATGTAATAAAAATTAAATGTCACTTTTTTTTAGTCAACTAGCGGTCAAATTCATATATGTAGTATCCAATAAATTTATATCCATTTAATGAAAACTACAATTATAAATAAACTTTAAAAAGCGTTGTATTTTTTAATTTAAGAAATGTTTGTTCATTAATTTAAAAATAATAATAATAATAAATAATCAAAAGTGGTGTTGAGTGCTTGTCTATTAGTTTTTTTTTTTTTTTTTTTTTTTTTTTTTTTTTTCTACTTTT